TAGGTGGCCAAACTTTGAACATATTGTTCTTGAAACTAAACTATAAATAGGCCTAAGTATTTCCATTAGAAATTATCCCAAAAAACAAGTTCTCTCTTCCTCTTGTATTCTTCATTCTCCCACTTTGGGAATTCCAAAGAATTCCATTTGTTGTAATATTGGCGATATAGTGAAGTTATCATCCGGTGTGGTGCCCGAGGAGTAGACGATATTCTCGTCGAACCTCGTAAATTTGGTGTGTTCTCTCCTTTATTGTTTTTTATTCAGTTATTTTCCATCGTGTTTCAATATTCAATAGTTTGACAGGTTTATCCGCTGTGCAACCTTTGGTGGTTTTAATCTTGACATTTTAGGTCAATTTTAAAACTACGTTCGTGTGGGAAATAACCCATTTTCCCCAACAACGATTTCTTGTGATCTCATGATATGGTTTATGACTCTTACTATTTCTACATGTTACAAATGATCTCTAGTCTTGTTTGGGAAAATTCATGATCTTTATATAATGAAGAGGTATTCAATACTTGCCAACTCACTTGCATATATTAACCTAAGAATTCTTTATGTATTTTATTAACCTTTGTTTGTAGTACTCAATATATAACCTTTGTTTGGGAAAGCTTATATTAACCTTTGTTCGTTGTAACTCAATATATAATTTAAACTTCTGAATGTTTCCAGTGTTGGATATATCTGAAATTTTGTTTCATATCGATCATGACCTAAGAATTCTTGTAACATTTTTTATATCTGGATTTTACTACAGTTCACTGATGAGCTCTCTAAAATGGAGGAGAAGCTTAAACCGACAGAATCTATTCTGGAAAGCAAGGTATGGCTTCGAAATTTTTTTCAAGCCTTATTATTATTTTGTTTTTATATTTGGTTCTTAAACATGTCTTTCCAGAACCTTGAAATCAAGAAAATAAATGACGAGAAGAAGGCATCCATGGCTGCTCAGTTTGCAGCTGAGGCCACACTGCGGAGGGTTCATACTGCTCAAAAGGATGATGATATGCCTCCAATTGAAGCCATTCTTGCACCCTTGGAGGCTGAGCTGAAGCTTGCTCGGCAAGAGGTATTTCTTGCTGCCATTCAACTGTTGGTTCTGTCTCACAATGAGAATTAGAGAATGCTTCTTAAACTTATATGCGATTGGTTATTCTCTCACTGATTAGTTCTTTTGGTTCTCTGCAGATTGCAAAGCTTCAAGATGATAACAGAGCCCTTGATCGCCTAACTAAATCAAAAGAAGCAGCTTTACTTGATGCTGAAAGGACCATACAGATTGCGTTGGCAAAAGCATCTATGGTAGATGATCTCCAAAACAAAAACCAGGAGTTAATGAAGCAGATAGAAATTTGCCAGGTATTCCCATCATTCTTTGCATTTCCTTTATCAGGTGCATCAGGAATTGAGGTATATAGATTTTCTTCACTCCGTAAACTATGTGATGAAGAAAGTCACATGTCTATGACCTGTCTATGATAGGAAGAACACAAAATTTTGGATAGGATGCATTGCCAAAAGGTTGCGGAGGTTGAAAAGCTGGCACAGACAGTTAGGGAGCTGGAAGAGGCTGTTTTTGCTGGTGGTGCTGCTGCAAATGTAGTAAGGGATTACCAGCGGAAAGTTCAGGAGATGAATGTAATGCGCTAAGCCTTTAACTGTCTGAGTTTTCCTGATTCCTTTTTGGTGATATAGACTTAAAGTTTTCTCAACATGAATGATTGTTTTGGAGTTTTAGGAGGAAAGAAAAATTATTGATCGAGAGCTGGCACGTGCAAAAGTAAGTGCTAATAGAGTGGCCACAGTTGTTGCGAATGAGTGGAAAGATGCTAATGACAAAGTGATGCCTGTAAAACAATGGCTTGAAGAGCGGAGATTCTTGCAGGTTTTTGTGGATAGTTTCTCTATCGAATAAATCTATAGGCACATAAATTAGTACCGTGTCTTTATCATGGACCTTTTTCTTATAGGGAGAAATGCAACAACTCCGTGACAAGCTTGCCATAACTGAGCGAACTGCAAAATCTGAAGCACAGTTGAAAGTAATAATCTGATTGTGACAATAGCCACTCTGTTCTCTTTGTTGATGCTGCCGATTTGGAATAAGAGGTTTTATTTTAATTTGCTAGGAGAAATATCAATTGCGGCTGAGAGTTCTAGAAGACAGCTTGAGAGGATCTTCTAACAATGTAGTCGCAGTACATCAGATGGAAGAAGTGTGAGCAATGGGCGTTCTAGGCTTCAGTCTCTTGGTGGAGTTGATAACTTCTCGAAACTTACACCCAATGGAGTTTTATCCAAGAGATCACCAGGCTCTCAATTGAGATCATCTTTCTCATCTTTTACAATATTGAAACATGCTAAAGGAACATCCAAATCATTTGATGGAGGCACAAGATCATTAGAAGGGGCAAAAGTGCTTTTAAATGGAGCAGGCTCAAATATTTCATTCAACCAGCTTTCTGAGGGAAAGGGTGAGGCACCGAGTGAAGAAACACCAAATAATTTCCCGTCAGAGGATGTGGAGGATAATGTTCCAGGAGTATTGTATGATTTGTTGCAAAAAGAGGTCATAGCTTTGAGGAAAGCTGGTCACGAGAAAGACCTAAGCCTTAAGGATAAGGATGAAGCGATTTAGGTTAATACTGTTCTTTCAGTCCAACACTGTTTTAATCTATCTTACTGGATACTGCTCTAATAATCCTTGTATTTTTCAGATGCTCGCTAAGAAGGTGGAAACATTGACAAAGGCAATGGAAGTTGAGGCTAAAAAGATGATAAAAGAGGTTGCTTCCATGCGTGTGGAGAAAGAACGTGAAAATCGAGCCAAGGGGTTTGGAAATTCCAAGGGGTCTTCTGCTCAGTTTCTTACTGGAAGGTACTTTTATCTTTTTGATAGTTGTTTAGCTTTTAACATTCCTCTTTTTCATATAACGCTTTAATAAGCTAAAATTAGTCACACTATTTGTGTTATACAATATTCAGAGAATCGAACAAGTTAAATCCTCAATATATTCTACAAATTTGGTTTGAAATCCCAACATCTATTAGTTACACAAATTCGTAATTATTATTTACTTTTTGCCTAATTCTTCCAACACTTGCCCCGAATTGGTTTGAAGATGCCTTCCATACCCAGTTGCAAGTCAAGTAATCAGACAGCCCCTTGTTGATCTTCGTTTTTAGAACATCTGCTTATTGTTCTCGAGTTGGGATGCATGGAAAACATGCACGTCCTTCCTCTAGCGTTTCTTTGATGAAGTGTCATTATACTTCAATGTGTTTTTTCCTGTCATGTTGAACCGGCGTATGAGCTATACTTATAGTAGCTTTGTTGTCCCTGTACACCTTGGTAATCTTTCCAACCATAACAACTTGCTTATTGCAGGAGTATATGTTGCTCAGACTCTTCATTTTTTCTTGAAATATGTGTCCTACACATATTTGGGCATGAGAATGGGGATACTAAAAAGATTAGACATCTCTGCATCGAACACGCACCCATGTCCGAGTAACAGAGCCAATAGTTGTTGCTCTAAATTCAGCCAAGTCAGTGTCTTTTCATCTGATAGGATTCATTGTAATTTATTCAATACTTCATATCGTAGTGATTAAATTCAAAATGAATCCACCTGTTAATTATGTTTGACATTCGCCTAATTGATTTTCGATGATTTGCTTGACCGAGAGTTGAGACCTGTAATCGATAAATGCCAAAATGTTAGTTTGCTTTTAATTGGTTTCATGGTTATTATATTTCAAATATTGACATTTTATTGTCCAAAAATATATTAGACATTCAATATAACTGAAATTTTCTCAAATTTATGCAGAAATGTATCTCGAAGTGGGTTAACGCGCAGCACACAATGAAACAAAATTCCAATCGAATTAGTAACAAGGACTAAATTTGCATAGGTCTCCTTAGTGCATTGCCTTATTTATTATATATTACCTCCCTGGTGATTGATTATAAGGTTTATAACTTCTCGTATTGACGAAATTAACGAGGAAAAGAAATCCGGTACGAGTAAACTTCGAAGTATGCTTTTGAAAATGCTTATTCCTCTTCTTAGAGGTAAGCCAAAGAAAGGAACCATTGACCGTAAGCTAACTTTAAAAAATATTTCCCGAATCATAAAGATAAGAAACATACACTGAAATGCAATATGCTTCGACTTATAATTATCTAATTACATAAATAAAGAATCACACCACCCATCACAAAGGGGACGAAGGGGGTGGATAGTACGGCGAATTGACATGGGGACAAGACTGTTGATTACCTAGCATGAGACACATTGATAAGCAGGACTGAAGAACGGTTGATTTCATTCTGATTTCTTCTTGATAGAAAATATTGTCCTGATTTGGCATGTAAAATTATGTTATTCGACTATGAAAATAAAACAAAACTTTGTTTGACATAAAACTTCCCTTTAACCGGAGTCGTAGGGAGTAAATGTTTGAGGTGTACAAATGTATCGCTATGGGAACAAGTCGTAAAGGAGTGATTCGGGAATAAATATTATGTTAATTTGTCGTATGAATTTTGAGGTAATTTTTTTATGAAAATAAATATTAGATTTGCGTGTAGGTGACTAAAAAGAAGTTGAATCGAAAATTTTAAAGTTCAATAGTCTTCAATGATGATGGTGAGAAGAGCCGACGATAAAGAATTTTAGTCAGATTCAAAAGTTAAATTGATATTTTATTTAAAATTTAAGAGTCAAATTAATATTTTATCTAAATTTTGAGGAACAAGTCAAAATTTTTTTTATTAATATGTTACATCGTCAAATTAATTTCATTTAACGTCATAATGATTAAATGTTATAAATCGATAAGCGACTAAAATATTATTTTTTTTAAAATTTAATGAAGAAAAGTGAGCACCAATGAAACAAAAGTGATCATATTGGTACTCTACCCTTTATCTTATTATCTCTATTTCTTTTTTAAAAATAAAAGTTTTATAAAAAAAAATCATATCAAACTCCAATCTCTTCTTCGCGTCTCTTTATGTAAAGGTTTCGATCTGGCAAAGGAATGATCCCTTCTCTCTTTTCCGATTTGGGGATTTGATATATTGTTAAAGAATCCGCCATGATAGCGGCTATGCTGCAAAAACAACAGCAGCAGAAACATGCGGTTGCAGCGACAGCTACGGCGGGGGATACAAAAACATCGGCCGAAGAAGAGACCTTGAAGAGGAACACAGATTGCGTTTACTTTCTTGCCTCACCTTTAACCTGCAAAAAGGTTCGTTTCTTAAAAGGGTTTAAGGGCTTCAAATAAGATCTTGTTTCCTTTTTGGGATCTTGATTTTATGCTTCAATTGAGGTTTCAGATTTACCCATCTACTTTCCTTTATTTTAATGACTCTTCGTTTAGCTTTTTATGTAACTTTGGGAGAAAATATATGTTAATTTTAGTTGGAAAGTGAGCTTTGTTTCTTTAGAGCCTTTTAGGTTGGATCTTGAGTAAAATCCTTAGTGAATTTCATCAGGAAATGTAATGAATCTTTCCCTTGATGTTTTTGTTCATAAATTTATGCCATTAAATGTGGGTATGTAATCATCTTATTTTCTGAATCGTTTTGTATATAAGAACCAATTAATTTTAGATAGTGTAAGGTTGTGCAATGATTAATCCGTACAATCTAAAATGCAGTGGACGTATCTGATGTATTGCAGTTCATTTTTTTTCTGTCATCAATAGTCGTTGGATTCTGTTAGACTCATTCTCTTTTTTTGTGCCAATAGGGAAGTGAATGTGAGTATCGCCATTGCGAATATGCTCGGATTAACCCAAGGGATTGTTATTACTGGCTGAATGGTAATTGCATGAACCATAAGTGCGGATTTCGGCATCCTGTTAGTTTCTTCACTTCTCTTTTCCACCAGTATCGATATTGTTATGTGCTAGTTTTAATATTTCTTTGTTTTGATGCTGTCTTTTCAGCCCCTTGATGGTTTGCTGGGAACACAAGTAGCAGCTCCGGCTGGTTCTTCCGTGCCTTCGTCACACATCGCTGTGACACCAACACCGGCTAGTTATAACCAGGGTGTTTCTTACAATCCCGGAAAACAAGCAGTGCCATGTGTTTTCTTCCAAAAGGGGCTTTGCTTAAAAGGTGACTGGTGTGCTTTTCTGCATGGTCCAAGTACGAGTAATAAAGCCCCTCAGCCAGCTGCATTGCATGGTCCATGTACTAGTACTAGAGCCCCACAGCCGGCTGCAAACATCACTGCTACCGAACCTAATTCTTATAAGAAGATTTTTGGCGATGCTGATTCATCTCAGTTGCAGAAGTTTCCCCCAATTAATGTTTCAAGGACAGTTGGAGTACCTCCTGAAAGTAAACCTGCCCCAAAACTTGAAGCTGCTTCGACTAGGACTGGTACTTCTATTGGGGGAACTGTGCCACATCCGGCTGGCATGGATGAGGAACTTCCTAAATGTAAAGGAACATACACTACCTCAGTTGTAAATGATAGTGCCATGGGTCGTTCCAATCGTTTGCATCAAGTCCACATTTCAGATGAACCGAGTTTTCATGCTGGTAAGGAGACTGACGAACTTTTGAGGGAGTCTTCTCCTGGGTTTGATGTTCTTGTGGATGATGAGCATGGAGATTCTGATTTCTACCACAGTGAAGAGAGAGATGGAGGAGAGAGAGGACATGAGGGAAGGAATGTGAATGAATATGAGATTGGTCTTGCTGCTAATTATGATGCCATGGTTGATGCTGACCGAGATATGTTTCTTGATGGGAATTACTATGATTCGTTTGACCATGTGCAAAGGAACTACGGATGGGACCAACCGAGTGCTTCATCTGAGAGGATATCTCTGGGACCTTCCACACTTGAAAGAAGGGGCTACACCAGAGTTAATAGTCTTGATCGTGTTGAGGAGTCAGACCTACGGCATCAATTATCTAAGCATACGCAGGTCAATGGCCTGAGGTCTGTTTTCAGTCAGGATCGTGCCCTAGAAAACCATGAAAGGGAGCAAAATTACTGCGATTCTCTTAGAGACTCACACCATTTCCCTGCCCATGAGAGCTCCTTTAGTAGTCGCCTTCGGGGTAGAATAAAGCTTCCTGGAAGATCTCTAGTTAACGTGACTGATTCACGTCCTGAAAGAGAGATAGAAAGGGGGCCAAATTGGGGCCGATTTTCGCCAGGAAAGCCACAAACCACCTCCCACCAGGGGAGGCTCCGTGACAGAATAAAAGGAAGGGTGGAAGGGGAATACAACAATAAAGATGGTCGAAGGTTTGGGGGTTCAAGAATAAGACGAGAAATAATGGATGAGAGGAATGCTGATTTTGCTGGTCCAAAACGTCTTGCAGAGCTGAAAGTTTGTAAGAATATTGATAATAATGAGCACCTTTCTCTTGGAAAGCGAAAGAGCATAGAGGATCATAAACAAACCGAAGGTGGTATTTCATTTGAAGGGCCAAAGTCTCTAAGTGAGATTCTGAAGAGAAAGAGGCAATCTGAACCTACAACTTCTGGAAGTGGTATAGCATCGGCACATAAAGATGTTAACCAGAAACAAAGCAAAGAAAGCTTGAATGACGGCTCCAGTAACACAGTAGTTTCATTGATGCTGGAGGAGGCCAACAGAAAGGATCAATCCAAGTCTACATCTGCAGATATTGGGACTGCAGAAGTTGCTCATGGTGAATCTTCTCAACTAAACAATCACAAGCATGAGAATGAGGACGGGATAATTGGGGACGTGACAATAGAAAATCACAAGCACGAGGCAGATGACCGGGGGGATGAAGGGGAGTATCACTACGAGGAGGGTGATGAAGGAGAGTATAAATACGAGGGTGAAAATGCGGACCCCAAAGAGGAATACATAGAGGAGGAAGACGGGGATGACTTTGGAAAGAAGATTGGTGTCATGTTTTCATGAACAGTGGGGAGATATAGAGATGGTGAGATAATATTGGAATTTTCATTGTAGAAGTAGGGGGGCAGTGAGTTTTGTTATGTTCTCATTGTATTTATGGGGGATGATGATTCTTATGTTTTTGAGGCCTTTTTAATGTGCCTAGCAGTTGAACTTTAGATTGTCCTAGTGCATGGCTGGAAAGTTAGGAGAATAGGGAAAATTTTAAATCTCCATTTCTTTATCTTATTACTCTCTCATTTCCCCCATCCCCCACGGTCTACTTTCACAGCTAACTTGCTCTAGTTTTATGATTTCTGGTCGAGTAAATTTGGTCAACAGGTTATGTGTTAAATGATTTTAAAACCCAAATTGGAAATGAAGTCTTTAGCTTTATAAAGAAAGTTAATTCAATATATAACCTTAAAATGATCCAAAGGTTTTTATCCAAATAATTTATAGACCCAAAATGTTAAAACCCTCCACGTAGTCCTTGTGCAGCAGAATTGCTTTCATTTCCGGTTCCATCGATGCCGAGATTCACTTTCTTCAATCTAATACCCGATGTCGAACCACAAAAGGTTGAGACATCGAAAATGAGTGACAAACGTCAAGGTATTTGTTTACATTTCCTTCTTGCCATGGAATTGACTGTAACATTATGCTTACTCGTTCTATTTTTCCCTCCAAAGAATCTAATTTAGTAAAGATAGATTACGTGGTGAGTGGGTCGATTATCCGTTGGGCATGATGCAGGAGTGTATATGATAGGTGATGGTGGCGGTGGTTAACGATGATGGTTGGTGACGACGTCAGCAGTTGTGGAGGGTATGTGGATTTATGAATTAGGTTTTTTAGAGGATTGGGGTGTTTCTAAAATTTTAGAAATATTTTAGGGTTTTTTTTAATAATAATAATAATAGTTTTCAGTTTTTTTAAATAAAATTTATGATAAACTACACGAGTGACCACTCAACTATTACCTCCTTTCATTTTGACCATCGATGTTTTAATTTGATCAATCACATCACCCAACTATTTAAATGGTTCAATCAAATCACATGCCGTTAAAATTTAACAGAGATGATGACGTCTCAGTTAAAAATTTTGGTATAGTTACACTTTTGATCCCTGTTACTTACAGAAGATGTAAATTTGATCCTAATTTTAATTAAGTTCTATAAATTTAATCCTCTAATTAAATTACAACACGTGTACTGGACGGTCAAATTTATTTATAATTTATTAAATTTATTTTCCTCTAATAAGAGGATGACACATTTCACCCTCTTAAAACAAGAAAACCAATGAAAGAAAGTTGGAGTTGAAAGGAATCAGACCAAGGGCGTTGGTTGCCCAAGCAAATGAGCAACCACCAAGACAAGTATACCGGATTGTTTGTGTTTTACAATATATGGTGGTACATATGTTGTATATTAGTGTTTAAAATTTAATTTAAATCATAACATTTTTATATATATCTCAACTTAATTCATATCCTAAGCTTAAAAATATATATTTTATTTTTTATTCAACATATTAAATATATTTTATTTTTATTTTAACTTAAAAATATATTTTATTCTTATTTTAACTTTAAAAATATATTTTATTCTTTTATTAACTTAAAAAATATATTTCCCTATTATCTTAACTTCAAATATATATATATATATATATAAACTTAAAAAATGTATCTTATTATTATATTAAGTTAATAAAAGAACAAAATATATTATTTGAAGTTAAAGTTAACAATAAAATATATTTTTTAAGTTAATAAAAGGATAAAATATATCTTTAAAGATAACATAAGAACAAAATACATTTTTAAGTTAAAATAAAGATAAAAATATATTTAATAAGTCGAATAAAAAATAAAATAGGTTTTTTAAAGTTAGGATATAAACTTAACTTAGATGTATAAAATGTTATGAATTAAAATTAAAATTTTAACAATAATATACAAGGTATATACCGTTTGTTTCAAACTCTAAGTTATCTAATACCCTTGCCTCAATGGCTGCCATTGGTTCAAATCTCTCTAACACCAAAACCTTTTTTCATTTGTTCTCTTGTAATCATAGGGTGACATGTGTCACCTTTTTATTGGAAGAAAATAAATTATAAATAAATCTAACCATTCAATCATAGATTGACATGTTTCACAATTTAATTAAATGATAAAATTTATTGAATTTAATTAAAAGTATGATCAAATTGACACCTTATGTAAGTAACAGAGATCAAATACGTAATTATACCAAAAAAAATTTAATTGACACGTCATCTTCTCTGTTAAGTTTTAACGGCAGGTGGCTTGATTGAACCATTTAAACTGTTAGGTGGTCTGATTGATTAAATTGAAACATCGGTGGTCAAAATGAAATCTGACAATAGTTAATTAGTCACCAGTGTAGTTTACACTAAAATTTATAAGCATGTCACCTGTCACATTTTGAGTGACTGATGAAATTTTTTAACATCTGTCATGGGTCATGCACTTAAAATGGTAACTTTGGTAATGGTAATCATCTCGAAAAAAGTTTAGATACATAAATAGGAAAAGAGGTATATTTTGGGTTTTTTATAGGATAAACGACACGTTTAATACTCCAACTCTCACCTTGTTCTATTTTGGTCATCAACTATTTTACTGTTTCAAAATCATATCTAACGTTACATTTTTTATTTAATTTTTGGTTGTTCACCATTATAAAATAATGACATGAAAATTGAAAGAAATAATAATAAAAAAATGCAACATCATGTATGATTTTAAAATATTATTTAAAAGCGTGTCAAAATACAAAGAAAAATGTATCATTAAGATAGAATTATTAAAACATAAGAAAAGTAAAGATATGGAATAAGAAAATAGAAAATAAAAAATACTAGTTGTGACGATCAACGTCAAAATTAGTATCGTCACCTACCAACCAAAGATTAAAAAGAAAAGAACAAACTACGGTGGGTGAAAGCTCATATAGTTGAATTGGTTTTGGTTGTTTGATCGCTCTTGTCGTTTATTTTTCTAAATGTTGGATTTGATACTGCTGCGACTGATCAAGATGGCGCTCATCTATTATCTCGTTGATCTTCCCTGTTTTGATCCCTCAAATTAGATTTGGATATGAATACTGCGTTTGTAGATAGTTTTCTCATGATGTATAACTCTGATTTGTATTTTCCGATTGTCTTTCAATAGTTTAATTCCCTTTTATAGTTCATTTATCGTAGCAGTCAGATATGATCTACCTATTGTTCGAGTTTTTATTGGGATGAGTTTTTCATCTTTTTCTTATATGACCGGGTGTGCATTTTCGGATATTGAATATTATTCGATCCAAGAATTTGGATCACAAAAATTTTGATTTATAAAATATCCGAAAAAATCAGATATCTAAACTTTCATATATTCGAATTCGAATATAAATTTTAATTTTTTAAAAAAATAAATTTAAAACTAATATTTTGTAATTTTATAAAATATATTTTATACCTATACTATATATTTACCAAAACGTATTTAAATAATTCAAAAATAAATATTTAATATCTCATTTAAAGGCTTCAAAAATAAATAATTTAAAAGTTAAAAAAAGGTTGGGCCATTGACACTGGGGGTGGGCTATTAGAGGCCGAGGCTGGAGGTTGGGGGGTGCTAGAGCTGAGGGGTTGGAACCGTTGTGCCCGAGTAAAATCATTTAAAGGCTTAACTTTTTTTTAGATAATTTAAAATTAAAATTTCACTGATTTGTATTCGATTCGATTATCTAATTTTTTTATATCTGAAAATTAAAAATAAATCAGATATCTAAATTTTTAGATTGGATTTATTGGATCGATTTTTTGCATACCACTAAATTATTGTGTTAATGGTTATAAAAGAATATTTTAATTATGTGTTTAGTTTATTATTCTAATTATAAATCCTCATTAAAATTTGAATGATATTTCTTCCTTACTAAAATTAACTGTTTTTATTTCTGTAAGAAATAATAATTAAGTGATTGAAATAGAAACATAAAAATAATTTACCCTAAAATAAATCCCATAATTTAACGACCTAGATTTAAGTGTAGCTGTTAGGCTTTAAAGGGAAACAAATATAATTGTAGGTTGAACCGCTAGTCATTTAATTTAGTATACAAAGAAATTTATGTCCCTCTGCTAACACTGCAACTGCGACCTCTTCTGATAAAGTGAGAGAGAGAATTTATGCTTTCATATGCAATAAATATATACAATTTGTTAAATGTTTAAGATGGACTATTGGCACTGAAAAACATGGCCTTTTTATAACCATTTAGGGGCTTACAAATGCTATGAAAACGACCCCTCCCTTTCACTTTTAAATTTTCCAAACATTGAATTCCCCTATTGCCTCCTTGAATCGTTCTTCCTATTTTCTAGCTAAAATATGGTCCTATTCCCTGCCATTTGGTTCCGTTTTTATTATTCGATTATTTCTTTAAAATCATAATTAACATTGCATTTGAATCTTATTTTTGTTACTTCTGGTTAAAAAATTAACATAACCGCTAAATTACTTGCTTAATCACCAAACTACTTTTTTTTTAAATTCTCACAATGTTATTTTTTAAATTTTATTTTAGTCGTCAACCGTTAAAATATTATCAGTGACACTGACGTGTCATCATAAGATAATATCATGTAATTGATAAAAAAAATATCATGTTAATAGTTTTGTTAATTTTCTAACGGCGAGTAATCAAAATGGAACTAAAATATAACTTTAGTGATTTAAAAAAAATATATAGTTAGCTTATCAAAACAGAACTAAAGTGATAGTTAGATAGCCAAATATATAGTGTATCATTTTATTTTTTTCAATAATGACACCTTATGGTAATATGTCAATATCATTGTTAATTTTTTAATGACAATTAATAAAAAAAACTCAAAACATAATTAAAAATTAGTTAAATGACCAAAATGAAGCTGCACTAGTAGTTGGATGACTAAATATGTAACTTTCCTTTTTTATATCATTAAAGGTTAGAGACAAAAAGGCGAAGTATCCTCGTCGATGGGTAAAATTAGGGAGAGATAAAAGATGAAACAATGATATTATCTAACACCCTTTCTCATATTTAAATAACAGTTGTAATATGATATTTACTAAACCCAGAAATATGGAACTCAACACAACACCAATATACCATGCAATTCAAAAACAAGAGATTTACCAAGTTCCGTTGGACACTTGATA